GGTAAATGCCCAGGAGTGGCATTGTTGGGTCATATGGTAGCTTTATTTTTAGTTTCCTAAGGGACCTCCATACCTGAGAAATTAAATTCTACCATTTGCAGAGATGTGAATGGTGACCTAGAGACTGTCATACAGGGTGAAGTAAGTCAGAAGGAGAAAAAGGTATATTTACATTTATGTGAACTCTAGAAAAATGGTACAGAGGAACCTATTTGCAAAGCCAAAGTAGAGACACGGATATAGAGAATAAATGCCAAGGTGGGGAGGTGGGGTGGGCAGGAGGACAAGGGGAAGGGCAGGGTGGGATGAATTGGGAATTTGGGATTGACATGTATACACTACTATGTATAAAATACTAATGAAAGCCTCCTGTATAGCACAGGGAAAGCGACTCATTGCTCTGTGGTTACCTAAATGGGAAGGAAATCCAAGAAAGAGGGGATATGTATGTATAGCTGACTCACTCTGCTGTATGATAGAAACTAACACAGCGAAGGAAAGCAGCTATACTCCAATAAATGTGTTTTGCAGTTAATCTTGGAAAATTTTTTGAGGTTTTAAACCTGTCCTGTGAATGGGTAGATACAAATGAGCAGTCATGCATTCAGCTATGACTAATGAATCATGACTTCCAAGGAATCAAGGAACTGGGAAACCTAATATCTAGAATAGAAGCTTTAGGAGAGGGGACAGAAAGTCAGAGTCCATATGGCCGACGTTAGCGAGAGACAGGAGTACATTAGTGATGCCTAGAGTTTTCACATATCAAAAGCAAATTCCTAAAGAAACTTTCAGCATTTGAAACCCCACCTTTATCAAGACAAGTTGGTTATGGGAGTAAGTCATTAAGAAAACAGTAAGCAGAGCAACAGTAACACTGCACTCCGAATTCAAGTGAGGGTTACGCAGTGTGAGTCTCCGTGCAACAGACTCATCCTTCCAGGATATTCTCTAGCCATGCCTTTCTTCCAGGAAAAATTGCTCTGGAACATCCAAAATACAGGAAGAAAATACATATTTCTCTCTCTTTCTCTTTCTCTTAAAGGGTCCTCTAAAGATATGATGTCTTTTAAGTATTCAAGTCACCTTTCTCAGCTACAGGCTTTATTCAGCACAGAAATCTTAAATATAATAGATCAGTTTTTCAGGGAATTAGGAGAAATAAGTAACTCATGGGAAAACAGGAAAGAAAAACAACACTTTGCTTCATGTGTGACGTCCTGCAATGACTCCAACTCGTAAAATGCACAGACATCAGGCTTCCAACCTGCAAATGAATTAAAGAATAGTTACAAGACGTTAGCAAAAGAATGCTTGGTATTTTTTTTTTATGTTTGTTGAGGAAACCTGTCAGATAACTCCATCATATTTACTAAATTTTTACTATGTGCCGAACACTAAACTGGCCCAGCTCAATACCAAAACTCATGTACAGTTAGAAATAAATATCTAGCCATATTCCCTACAGACCACAGCCAAGCCTGAATGTAGTAACATCAAATGTTCTTCCTCCACTTTCTTCTCATTTTGTGTGTAAAATGCATTTATTTTGTTTTCATTGAATCCTATGTAAATATAGGTGAAACAACTTAGTTCCTAGATTCAAAATAAATGGAGGAAGCCAAAAAGGATGGGAAATAAAGAGCCATGAATAAGAATTTTGCAAATATCCCAAACCAGTAGCACAAAGATAAACTACTTATGTAGAACTTTTTTAAATACAAATTTCCAGAGCCCATAGAAGATCTTCCTATCAAGATTTCCAAGGGTGGGATCTGAGTACAAGCATTTTTTAGACATAAGTAATAAAAGCAAACTACAGTTAAAAATAACCAACATGAAGTAATGCAGAACATTTTATTATGTGGAAAAATATGAATTTATAAAATCATCCCAAAGTACATTTTTTGTTTCTGTGTGTGTCTTTCTTGATTTTATTATTAATATTTTGCAATATTGATGCTTTGTGAGTAAGCTTGTGTAATGAGATGCGGGAGTTGGGGAAAACCTCTTCGATGTTTTCTCTCTCCTTATTTCCTTCTCCTCCCCTTCCCTAAGCAGAAATAAATAAAATAGAACCTACTAGAAATGCTAAGTGATTTCTGATATAATCTGTTTCCTTGACTTATTTCAATAGGCTTTATATATTTTACATATCAGAGTAATAAAGTTGAGGAGGGAAAGCTAGCTCTTTTGCTCATAACACAGTATTCCTGCGCATTCATCAACAGAGTTTCTGTTAATGACATAACCCTTCATTCCCGCACAGTAATTTCCCCTTGGCTCTCTAAAACTTGGTCCTCCCAATATACTTAGACCACTCTTGTGGGGACTGGAAACATTTTTTCTTAAGCAGAGTATATAATCAGAAACTTCAACCCCAATACTACAGTTAAAAGTGCCAAGCACAGTAGTCCTACTTCAATGTACCTCTTGTATGTCTCTGCGGCTGTAAAGGATTCCTTCTTCTGGCCTTAATCTTGTTGAGTTGAGATGTAGATAATATTCTTCTATCAAGATTAAGTTATCTGAGCATAAATGAATGAATAGATAAATAAGTGTGTGTGTGTGTGTGTGTGTGTGTGTAATGTCCTGAAACATTGCTTCTTAAAGCACGGGAGTAAGACCATCTGATATAGAATCCTGTTGCTGTTATTGTTCTGTAGCTAACTGGTATCCTAATTTTTGCAACCCCATAGACTGCAGCACGCCAGGCCTCCCTGTCCCTCACTATATCCCAGAATTTGCCCTGGGGAGATAGAACAGAATCCTAGGGCACTTGTAAAAACTTTAGATTTCTGGTTCATCCATGTTGTTTCCAAAGACAAAATTTCTTTCATTTATAAGATTGAATGCAATACAATGTAACAAATACAATACTCCATTGTATTTATATGACACTTTCTTTATCCATTCATCTCTCAACAGACTCATAGGCTGTGTCCACACCTTAGCCACTGTGAATAATGTTGAACAATGAACACAGGAGTGCAGATACCTCTCCAAGACAATGACCTCCTTTCCTTTGAGGATACCGCCAGCAGAGAGACTGCTGAATCATTTGATAAATCTATTTTTAATTTTTTAAGAAACTGTATTGTTTTTCATAGTGGCTGAACCCATTTACATTCTGATCAACATTGTTTAACAGGGTCCCTCTTCTCCACATCCTGGAAAAAAAAAAATTATTTTCTCTTATCTTATTGATGATACCCATTCCAACAGGTATGAAGTGATAAGTCTTTGTGGCTTTATTTCCCTGAAGATTAATGATGCCAACATCATACATCTGAAAAAAATTGGTAATTTGAGGTGATGTGTGTGTTCGGTCACTCAGTCATGTCCAACTCTGTGACCCCATGGACCGTAGCACGCCAGACTCCTCTGTCCATTAACTTCCCAGGCAAAGGTACTGGTGTGGGCTGCCATTTCCTCCTCCAGGGGCTCTTTCCAACCCAGGAATCAAACCCACGTCTCTTATGTCTCCTGCATTGGCAGATAGATTCTTTACCACTGTGCCACCTGGGAATCCCCATATCTGAGGTGAATGATACATTTATCCACTTGATTATGGTAGTCATTTCACCATGTATACACATATCGAACATCCTTTATACTTACTACACCTTAAATATACAAAAATTTTTATTTGTCAATTATACCTCAGTCAAGCTGGGGAAAAAAAATTGTACTTTTGGATCACATCTCAGAAGTCATCAGAATTCCTGGGCCTAAAGCCTAAGATTTACATTTTAAGTCAGCTGCCAGGTGATGCTCCTGCATCCTGCAGCTTCAAAAACACTGAATTAGATGTTCTGTGCAGTTTCCTCAAGCACAAAATTTTTATAACTCAGTCCTTATTCTAGAACCGTCAAATAGACACCTTCTAACCTCAATTTGACCCTCCAACTCCTGAAAACCCCCCTTTTTTTCTTTTATTATTCTAGTCTAACCTACATGTTTGATTAAGTTACAATTCTCAGCGTGAACCAACCTATGGCTGCTAGAAAGTTTCAAACTGGAGATTTTGTAGGTTATAATAGTCCACTGGATAAGAATCTACTAAGTCAATTCTTGAACATGATGTCTTTTGAATTTTTTTGAAAAGCTATCTGTTGGATGAAATATGGTGCAGAAAATATTCTTTACTAAAATGATCTCTCCAAATAACCATTATATTAATTGCTAATGTGGAGAATATGCAAGATACCACTTGTAGATACTCAATAGAGGAGCAGAGTTTAAGCCAAACCCTGCTGTCCCCAAGAATATTTGTACTCTAAATAAAATGTTTTCAACAAGAAGATTGAGGAACTTTTGATTTGGCTTATAAAAAGAATATTACTCTCTTCTCTAAAGGAATACAAAGAAAGGCTGATATATCTTCAGGTCTATGAGAAGTGCTCTTTTAAGAGTAAAACTACCTAATGTTGATTCTTCAAAGATTAAGAAACTTTCTGTCGTTGTTTTTAAACTGGTCCTTGTAAATTGTAAAGTAGATATCCTAGGTGGTTTGAGATGGGGGATCTATCCTTCCCTTAAAAGACTCTCAGATCCCTAAAGTCTATAGCTATTCTAGATTCCCCAGAATCCTTAAAAAAGGGGGACATGGCATTTTAACTTACAATCCTTTGTCCCCAGAGGAGGAACATAGGGGGTTTGATTTGTATTGATACAGAAATAATTGGCAGAGATCCCCAGTGTTGGGATCCCTTGTGAGGGACGGAAGTGGCGAGACGCGGAGGGACACCAAGCAATGGATGGTGTAACACTGACGCGAGAATTGGAGGAGATTGTCACAGACTTAAAGAAAGGTTAGGATAGGATTTAAAGACAAAACATGAGCAGACCCCTGTTGCCTGCTTCTCACACAAGAGCAAGGATTATTTGCTTTCTCACTGCGTTTAACACCCACACGAGAAAACTAAACCCACTGCCCTCCTCCCTGCCTGTTCCAAGGAATATGCGCGCACCAAGAAAGGAAACCACTCAGGTGAGAATATAATGGCGGTTGAGACAAGTTTATTGAGAATCTGACAGACCCATCCACAACTTGATAATGACAAGAGTCATGCGCATGGTGAAAAATTCAAAAGTAAAGCATGTTTGGGTGTCAAGTTTCCAAAAATGTCCCAACAAACATCATGCAGGGAAGGCAGCTGGAGGCAAGTGGTTTTTCTTCTTCCCTTGAGACTCTGGTGCTGTTGTGGAAAGCAGCCAGCCGGGAGGGCCTGGAAGTGCGCCTGTCGGGTTTGGGGGAGATTTCATGCCTCCGGTATTTCAGCAAATCAGTAGAGAGCATATGGCCAGAATCTGCGGTAACCGAAGGCCCCGGAGCCGTTGTAGCCGTAGCCGAAGCCGTAGCCCACGGGGGAGTAGGTGCTACCGTAGCCACAGCCCACACTGTAGCCCAGGGGGTAGCCGTAGCTGCCCCAGTAGCAGCCTGGGAAGATGGCGCTGGAGAAGCCGTAGCTCATGGCGTCTGGCTGGGGCGGCTGGAGAGCAGGGAATGAGGTTCTCAGTGTGATGGATTCCCTGTGCTCCCTCCTTCTTTATATACCCTGGCTAGGGGATGCGGTGAAAAACACAAGGCATCATTGTCATTCTTGACACCAATTTGCTAATTAGTTTGTGTTGCTTGCTTAAGATGTCTTTACAAGTGCTTCAGAAAGCTCTCATGTGATAGAATAACAGAGGCAGGAGTCCTTCAAGTAAATTGTGTCCCTTCATTAAAATACGCTTTGCAGAGTCTTCAACGCCCTGGGTCTTATAAAGTTCTAAGTACAAGCCTCTGGAAACAGGCTTTACAGTAGTACGAAATTTTCTGAGGTTGTTAACTGTTATCCAGTCCTCTTGCTCTCTGAATTTCCACAGCACACAGTTGGAATTCAATAAATATGTGTTGAAAAAACTTGAATGAAATAACACTTACATACTGTGTGTGTGTGTGTGTGTGTGTGTGTGTGTGTGTGTGTGTGAGCGCACGCTCAGTTGCGTCCAACTCTTTGTAACCCCGTGAACTGGAACGTGCCAGGTTCCTGTGTCCGTAGAATTTTCCAGGCAGGAACACTAGGATGGGTTGCTATTTTCTATTCCAGTGAATCTTCCCAACCCAAGGATCCAACCTTCATCTCTGGCATCTCCTGCGTTGGCAGGAGAATTCTTTACCACTGTGCTACCTGGGAAGCCCATACATAGTGAAACCACCTCGAGATATTCTTTGGATTTATCTGATTAAAGACTTTATTTTGGCTTTATACAATACAAATACCAAAGAGTTCATTGGAAAGACTCTTTTTACCTCTATTTAGAGCTACCGTGTTTACAAAACTGAATAAAATTTTAATTTTAATTATAGTACCCACCTGAACTATATTTAACATCATATTTCTAACCAACTGCCTGAACTAATAGTCTTGTAAGTGTTAAAGAAAATGAAGCTTGTGGATTTATCCTAGAAATTAATTGTCAAATATGCTGGTCAAATATACCTTTTAAAATCAATGTTGAAAATAATAACAGGGTAAAAACAGAATAATGAAAGGGAACTTTTACCTTAAAATGTGCATAATTTTTTCATTAGATCTCATAAAACCAGATTATTTAATGAATATAATGATCTTGTAAAGAGCCAGATGAAAATATTAAATCCAAGTTATATCACTTGAAGGGTGATCATGCACCCCAGGATTGGGAAAGAATATCTTCTTCTCTCTAAATGGAAACTTAGTTCTCAAATATGAATTAAAGGAGGAATAAGATTGATCAAACTTATCTTGGGTAATGGAAGTCTTGAAAAATTATTCTCAGATACCTGCCCTGAGATTCTTCTGAATGGAGCTTAATAGAAAATTTACAGAAGATAAAAGAGGACACATGACAGAAATAGAAAAGCACAGAGCTATCAGGAATCATTCTTAAAAGGCACAGAACAGATATGTATTACACGCTAGCCTCCAGAATTTTACTTTAGCTCTCAGAGGTAACTTTCCTTCCTGTTACCAGCAGCTAAGACCTAAATTTCTGGAAGCATGTAGCGCTCACAGGTAGACTCCAAGGGCAAAGGTGAAACATTTGGAAAATGCTAAAGTATAACAGAGTCCCAGCCACTAATTGGTTAATTATAGCAGAGGCATTTCTGAAAATATAGAGTGTTATTGCACCATTCTTGCTCATGAACAAAGCTTTATGACCCCTAGGGTGATTCAGCATTTAAAATTCAAACATTTCATGTGACTTATAGCTAAATAAGGCCAAGGGAATTAAAATTAGCTTCACTCACTAAAATATCCCCTGGAGAAGGGAAAGGATACCCACTCCAGTATTCTGGCCTGCAGAATTCCATGGATTGTATAGTACATGGGGTCACAAAGAGTCGGACATGACTGAGTGACTTTCACTGTCCCTTTCACAAAATATAAACACATTAAACCACAGATCCTTGTCTAAAAAATCATAGAATAAATTCTGCTGTCATCACATTTCCTTCCTTCATAAAGAAAAAACTAGTATTATTTGGAAGAAAAAAATTAAACAAACAATAGTATGGTACAATGGAAAGTAAAAAGATTGTATTAATGTCAAAGTTCAGTTGTGATGCTCTGTTTAAATGAGTTCCTCTCCCACCTGCCTACCCAATCTGACAAGATGCTAACTTGTTCTGCTGGACACAATAACCATGAAAGTAAAAGAGGCTTGCTCCTTGGAAGGAAAGCTAGATAGCATATTAAAAAGCAGAGACATCACTTTGCTGACAAAGGTGCATATAGTCAAAGCTATGGTTTTCCTAGTAGATATGTTTGAGTGTGGACCATAAAGAAGGCTGAGTGCCAAAGAATTGATGCTTTCAAATTGTGTTGCTGGAGAAGATTTTTGAGAGTTCTTTGGACTGCAAGGAGATCAAACCAGTCAATCCTAAAGGAAGGACTGATGCTGAAGCTGACTATCCTCTGTCCTCCTGATTCAAAGAGGTGATTCATTGGAAAAGATAACTAATATTGGGAAAGATTGAAGGCAAAAGGAGAAGGGGGCAGCAGAAGATGAGATGGCTATATAGCATCATCAACTCAATCGACAGGAATCTGAGCAAACTTCAGGAGATATTGGAGGACGGAGAAGGCTGGCATGCTGAAGTCAATGGGGTCACAAAGAGTCGAACATGACTTAGTGGCTGAACAATGACAGCATGATTTATCAAGTCATTTAAAAACAAAATCTACAACTAGTTTAATCTTGCGTTAGACCTATGAAGGCTCTATGCTAACATAGGTCTATGTAAAAGGGCTTTAGGTTTTAAAGAGCCTGAAAAAATGTATACAATGTTGAGAACCCTCTTTATGAAAAACAGTACCACATAAAAATATAAAAATAAATATTTGTTAAAATGCTAAATCACATAAAATTAAATACTAATAAAAGACACAAAAATTACAAAATTCTGGGGAAAAAAATTTACTACATAACTGCCTGGCACAATTCTATAATATTCTTTCTATAGACTAGCTTCTGGCCCCACCATTTCCATTTTTTTCTTCCACTACTTATTCTCCTCTGGATGCCATGGGGCAAATTCACACTGAGATATGACTTCTGCTGCTCCACATTCATGTTGCAAATTCTGGGCAAATTGGAAGAGCAGATGGGAGAGAATTCCTGGAAACCATCACCATACAAGGATAGCTAAAAACAGCCTAATTAGACACAAAATCTATCCCCCATATCCAGACTCCACTGGATGCCAGACTGGATGAAGCACAAGCTGGAATCAAGATTGCCCAGAGAAATTTCATTAACCTCAGATATGCAGATGACACCACCCTTATGGCAAAAAGCGAAGAGGAACTAAAGAGCCTCTTGGTGAAAGTGAAAGAGGAGAGTGAAAAAACTGGCTTAAAATTCAACATNATGGCATCCGGTCCCATCACTTCATGGCAAATAGATGGGGAAACAATGGCAACAGTGACAGATTTTATTTTTGGGGGCTCCAAAATCACTGCAGATGGTGACTGCAGCCATGAAATTAAAAGACACTTGCTCCTTGGAAGAAAAGCTATGACAAACCTAGACAGCATATTAAAAAGCAGAGACATTACTTTGCCGACAAAGGTCCGTCTAGTCAGGGCTATGGTTTTTCCAGAAGTCATGTATGGATGTGACAGTTGGACTATGAAGAAAGCTGAGCACCAAAGAATTGATGTTTTTGAATGGTGGTGTTGGAGAAGACTCTCAAGAAGACCCTTGGACTGCAAGGAGATTCAACCAGTCCATCCTAAAGGAGATCAGTCTTGAATATTCATTGGAAGGACTCATGGTGAAGCTGAAACTCCAATATTTTTGGCCACCTGATAGGAAGAACTGGCTCACTGGAAAAGACCCCAATGCTGGGAAAGATTGAAGGCAGCAGGAGAAGGGGAAGACAGAGGATGAGATGGTTGGATGGCATCATTGATTCAATGGACATGAGTCTGAGTAAACTCCGGGAGCTGGAGATGGACAGGGAAGCCTGGTGTGCTGCAGTCCACGAGTCGCAAAGAGTCGGGACATGGAGCGACTGAACTGAACTGATCACATGCAAGACATTATGCCAGGAGTTCTATCTACATTCATTCCTCTGTGGAACCCTCACACTGGCCTCATTCAAGAGGCACTGAGATCCTTCTGGGTTACACAGCCAACAAGGAACAGGGTTCAAACTCACAAGCTCAGACATGCTGCTTCAGAATCTCTTCTTTGCTGGACAGCAGGCTGCCCCCACTCTATCCATTAACCATAGGAACACCAAGAGAGTAAAGTTTAGACCAAGAAACCAAAGAGGCATTCATTAAATCAAGAGGCAATCTATTGGGATTTCACAGCAGTCAGTACAAATAAGCTCTGTTTTACATAGTCTGGGTAAATCCCCCCAACAAATGAGCAGCAGACTGATTCTCAAGATACAGTCTTATGCACACAGCACACACACATATTCACATGTACTGAATTCAACAAATAGAATTCCTCAGCACTTACTGGGTAGCAGACCCATGAAAATGTGTCATTTTTAAAAACCGAAATATGAACTCCTCTGACTTCAGATTCATAGCTCAGTAACATGTCCAACTACTACTCAAATACAAAAATAGGAAGAATGGTTCCAAACTCTGTTTGATCATTTGCAAATAAAAAGATGTTCTTCATGTTTGTTCAGATAAAACATTGTCCCCCAGGCTCAGAGGCCAGACCCTTGGGTCAAATGCCTGCCAGGAACTCTTTTCTGAGGAGTAAAACTGCTGACAAGACTATTACAGATTCGACTACATCACCAGGGCAAACGAGGAGACTGTTAATATCTATGATCCGAACTCATGGGAGAGGGCCCCTGGGTCAGAAACATTCACCAACAAAAGAAAAGGAAAAAAGAACTACTTTCAAAGAAGCCTCCACACCCACTGTCTCTTAAAATACACTGTTTGGAACATAGTGGGTTCTCAAAAAATCACGTTGGATGAACACGCCAAACTTAAGAAGAGGAAGCCTGG